GGGAGTGGACGGGGGGGGGGTGATCAAGGGGTTAAATGTTTCTTAAAATGTGTTTAAACTGTAAAAGTGTGCTGCTGTACTCACTGTCTCTTCTTTTGTATCTCTCTCTCTGGGACGGAATGTTCCCAGAGAGAGAAGATGTCATTTCCTGGTACCTGTGTAAGTGTAAACACAGGTACAGGAAGATCTCTGATAGGGCAGGGATCGATCAGCTGATTTAGGCCGAACATCACTGGCCTAAATCGGAATGATTGATCCCTTGGGGATCAAATCATGGCACCCGTGGGTCGGCAGGGGTGCACACGCGTGCCCCCCTTGGTCGGCGATCACTGCAGGAACGTAAATCGCGTGTATATACATGATTTTGTGCACCCGTGCCGCCTTGTAGCAGTATTTATGCTATAGGATGGTCGGGAAGCGGTTAAGCAATACAACTACATATGAGGACGTGCATCTGTCTGTAATAGAAATAACACTTAGCCTAAGCCTGTTGTGTTTGGAGACCTGGAAACAATTGATGTTACATGTTTGCACAGTGATGAACATACACAGTGAAGGTGTAGTGTTATAACAGGGCTGGACGGTTACCAGGAGCCATATAACCACAGAGTCCAAAACATTGTCATTTGACCTTTTGTGGGTATCTTTATATTTCTGAAGACACATTTTGCTGAAAAGACTGTGCTGGTTTCTTGATCGCACTGAATAGTTTTTAAATTTGTCTTACTTTTTAATTCTGTTGCGTCTAACCTAATATAGTTTAATGGCTTTTAAAGTAAATAGCTGTATGCTATGTAAACCACAGCATTGTTGTAAGTAGAGGTCTTCAACCACTTCAGCTCCTGGGCAATTCTGGCATTCCTCCTACATGTAAAAATCAGCAACTGAAAATTGCTTAGAACCCCAAAACATAGGCCCTAGAGAATAAAATAGTGGGTGCTGAAAATGTGCATGTATTTGCGCATCTTTTATTCAACTTAAATACTTTAATGAATCTTAATACACAAACATATCTTAATACTCAAATGTTTAATTAACTATAAAAGGTGATGTTACGCTAAATAAATAGATACCATGCTTGAAAATTGTACACGCTCATGTAACGGGGACGAACTATAGTACATTAAATAGGCAATGTTTTAAAAGCCTTTACAGGTTACCAGTTCAGAGTTTACGCAGGAGGTCTGGTACTAGAATTATTGCTCTCGCTATAACATTTGCAGCGATATGTGCGGTGCGAACACTGTTTACATATGTTGCGCCAGCTATACCATATGCATTCATCTTTGCGCTGGGAACAGAGGCGCTTTTACAATTTTTTATTTTTTATAATTTTATTTTAATTTTTTTTTACACTCTCTCTAATTTTTTAACCACATTTATGGCTATCAAAAGTGATGAAAAACATCCCTTATTGCTGGAGCAGTGACATATCCTCTTTATGGGGAGATCATTAGTTTAACCCAGGTACATGTGATCTGTTGCTTTCACAAGACAGTAATGGCTTGTTCAGATCCTGGCGAAATCGGAAGTGACAAAATATCCATCACTTATGGTTTCTTAGACCATAGAGTTGATCATTCCGGTTCTCTGTCATCTCTGTGGTCAGCCGGCAGAACCACCGGCTTCAATCCTGGTCTCCTTGGTGTGATGGGAGAGCCTTGGAAGGCGGTGGTGGGGGGCTAATTAGCTGCTAGGATTGCTTTTACATGAAAGTCCATCTCCAGCTAAATAGATACCAGGATGATGCCTGTAGCTGCAGATATCATCCCAGTAGAACCCCTTGAACCTAGCGACGTAAATGAAAGTACATGCCTACATTCCCAGGCAAAGCATGCGTCTGTTGGCTTGACCGCTTCCCCTCCGCCCTATAGCAGAAATACTGCTACAGGGCAGCAGGGGTGCTCAAAATCGCAATATATTTCTCTTTCTCTCTTTCTCTCTCAGCACTGTCCGGTCAGAGGTTATGCAGTCTCATAGGACAGTCAGAGCAGAATGAAAACTCCTCCTATGAGATTAACCAGTGCTCGAACTGCTGATGAGAAAAAGTATTTAACAGTGTATAATCCCTAAAATTATTTAATTTTTATGTTCTGTGTACTGTGGGAGACAAGAGATTGTGAATGCAGGGTCCTGGGTTTATTAACACTTTAAAGTCTATGCGGACACAAGTCAGATTGAAGTAGTACAAGGAACCTTCAATAGTACTAATTAAGGCAGCTCTCATTGACTGACGTGGAATTTCACATGTCATGTTACTTGGGGTCACACAAGTCTGATCTCAAGTTGCAGTACTGTAAACTGAGCTTTAGTTGTGTTAAAAAAAAAAAAAAAAAAAAAAAAAAAAAAGGCTTGTGCCAATTAACTTTCCCTGGTTCTCCTTTTCTGTAGAGTCGGGGCACTTGTGGATATGATTCAGCAGTGATGTCCAATTCTTATCGCCTGATGCCCGGGACATGTAGTGCCGGGCAGGTTTTTTTTTTTTTTTTTTTGCCCTTAGCCCTGCAGCGGGCAAGCAGCATGGGCTCACCTGTCAGGTGGAAGCAATTGGGCAACAGCGTTGCTGCCCGATTGCTTCCACACAGCCCTTAGTGTCAGCCTCTCCCGCCTCCCCCCGCTATATGTCCCGGGTTCCGCTTGCCCATCTGCAGACCTGAGACTGGTTCGTGGGTGCTGCGGGATGAGGTTTAGGGGAGGGAGGAGTAGAGCGGACACATCCACTCCCCTCCCCTTCTCCTGATCCGGACGTGATGTGACATCACTTCTGGGTCCCCGTTTGACAGATTCCTGGTCATAGAGTCTGGGAAAGAATGTAATGCGGTGCAATGTGCACCGCATTAAATTCAGTGTAGTACAGGGGAGACTTGCAGGGTCTTTTAGACATTGCATGTCTCAAAAAAGAGCATCTGTCTCTAAAAAATCATCACATAGGGGACTTTTTGTCCCGTATGTGTATTTAAAAAAAAAAAAAAAAAAAAAATTTTAAATGGAAGTTACTCCCAAGCATATAACACCCCAAATTTTTCAAGGCCCCCCCACATATGTACGCATGCACAAACGTAAAAGCACATGCTCGAGCGCCTACACATAAAAACATGGATTGCGATACACATGATAAATATCGCCACGCATGCCAGAATGAGAGCAATAATTCTAGCACCAGACCTCCGTACTGATGACCTATAAGGGGCTTTATAAGTGTCACCTATAGAAAATATTGGGCACTGAAGTTTGTTGCAGTTTCATGAGCGCACGCAAATTTTAAGGTTTGACATGTTGGATATCTATTTACTCGCTGCAACCTCGTCTTTTATATTTTACCAAAAAATTGGATAATTTATTTGTTTTTTGTGCCCTAAAATTAACGTAAGTGTATTGTTTACTGACATTTTGTGATAATATGATGTGACATAAAAAATTGGAACTATTGCTATTTTATTCTCTAGGATCTCTGCTTTCAGAAAATATACAATGTTTTGGGGGTTTGTATCATCTTCAGGCCTAAAATGATTTTGTAAACCTGTGCAAATAACGCAAAACCAGCTCTTGCAGCAAAATGGATAAAGGATAAGCTGGAAACTCCCCTTTCCTGATGAGCAGCCAATCTGTGCTCATTACACTGCAAGGTCTCTCCCCTCCCTGCTAGTCCCCGGGTGCTGTGCTGGAGAGAGGCAGGGAATGGAGGAGGAGATAAACAGCGAATGTTAAAAATATTAAACGTTTAAGTCGCCATAAAGCCCCTTTTGTTTTTAAAAGCCCCAGACATTACTTAAAGCAGATTTTAATACAGTTTTGGTTAAAATTAGTTTTTTCATTAGGACAAGTAGATTGGGACACCGATTTAGTCCCTGGACAAGTAGTTTTTTCCAAAATTTCCACACCCTTGTTCAGTTTTTTTTTTTATCTGTATAAATATACTAATTTCAGGGTTACGTTGCCCTAAGAGCTAGTTTGTGCCTTTTTAAAACTATTATTAGCGGGTTTTTTATGATTGCTGACATCAGGGAAGAAATGATCAAACCTGGAATGTCAGCTATTCTAGTCAAATGTTTCAGTGTAAACAACTCCATTTCTTATCTCTTTGAAGCTTTTGGGTAAGGACACTTTTGTGTGTGTGTGTGTGTGTGTGTGTGTGTGTGTGTGTGTGTGTGTGTCACAGAAGTGAGTTCACCCCTCACATTTTTGTAAATATTTTATTATCTTTTCATGTGACAACACTGAAGAAATGACGCTTTGCTACAATATAAAGTAGTGAGTGTACAGCTTTTATAACCATGTAAATTTGCTGTCCCCTCAAAATAACTCTTTATGTAGAGCAACCATTCTTTTTTTCAGATCCTCAGAGAGTTCTTTGCCATGAGGTGCCATGTTGAACATCCAGTGACCAGTGTGAGAGCGATAAGACCAGATTTAACACACCTGCTCCCCATTCACACCTGAGACCCTGTAACACTAATGAGTCACATGACCCTGGGGAGGGAAAATGGCTAATTGGGCCCAATTTGGACATTTTCACTTAGGGGTGTACTCACTTTTGTTGCCAGCGGTTTAGACATTAATGGCTGTGTGTTGAATTATTTTGAGGGGACAGCAAATTTACATTGTTATACAAGCTGTACACTCACTACTTTACATTGTAGCAAAGTGTCATTTCTTCAGTGTTGTCACATGAAAAGTTGAGAGAAAATATTTACAAAAACGTGAGGGGTGAACTCCTATGAGAGTGTGTGTTGTGGTTTTTAATTCATTTGTCCACACGATTTTAGGAGCAATAAATTATGTATATACTGTATGTGGTTCAAAACACTGACAGCCCATTTATCTGGACTTCCTTTTCATTTAGTCATAGAACATTCATTTCATGCATAAATTACAAAAATTGCAAGTGACAATTACTTCAATTACTATTATATTATTGTAGATCCTAGTTCTCATTTTCTGTGGTTTCTAGAATTGCTGATGTTTTCCAGTACTAGTTAATTTTGTTTTTCTATTTATTAAGGGCATAGCAGAGGTCTTCAGATGTTTCATTTGCATGGAAAAGCTGAGGGATGCCCGTCTTTGTCCGCACTGCTCTAAATTGTGTTGTTTCAGCTGCATTCGGGTAAGTGATTTCTTCTCCATTTTTTTAGGTTGTAATACTACTTCATACACATAGTTTTTGTTTTCTTAAAGTGAACCTGTGCTTCGACTATGCAAGACTTTTAAAGCAGAACTATGGCTTCCCATAAAAAAGAAAATCTACCGTAGCACGTAATTTTCTCTTAGTCCCCCTGAAAAATCCCTCAAATACCTGTTGAATCTGACAGTGAAGTGCATCTAATGCAGATTCCTGTGATGGTGTGACAATTCTGCACGGCTCCTGAATTCAGGGCAGTTTCCACTCATGTAAGTTGTACTTGCTTGTGCTACATTGGTATGAAAAATCATTGCAGGGGGCATGGCAATTATCCCTGACACTGTTGTAGCACAAGCTTATCGCTTGTCAGTCTGCACCTGGCCACATCTAGTCCTGCCTACTACTTTCTGGATTGACAGCACTGCCTCCGTTGCTGAAAACCTCGGACGTAACCTGCAGTGCCTGAGAGGGGATTTGTCAGACACAAATGAAGGAGGGTTTTTGTGTTTTTTTTTTTTTTTTTTTTTTTTTTTTTTTTTTTTTTTTTTATAAAGCTTGCGTGTCACATAGTAACTGGATTTGCCACTTGCCTAGGCCAGGTTCACATTTGTACATTGCAGGAATGCATGCCAAGAGCGCACAAAAACATGCTGCTGTTTTTGCAGATTTGTGATGGTGACATTTATTCCTAATGGCACCCATACACATCTTGCAACATGCGCCAAACACATGTTAATAAAGTACCATGCATTTTGCTTTTGCTCAATTTTTCAAAAGGACAAAGCACTTTTAGTGTGTTTTTCAATGGGCTGCGCTACACCAGAAATGTGCAAAAATGTGTGCGTACTCACACCTGAAAAAGTGTATACAGAGCTTTAGAATGACATACTGGAGCCTTTTATTTGTACTTTAATGCTGGCTTATACTACTTGCCTTCTTTTCTGTCCCCTACTTCTCCGTTTGCCCTGGAAATGAAGTAAGATACCTGGTTCCACCTGGCTTGGGGGAACATGTGACTCGCTGACCACGTTGTAACGCTGGTGCTGGCAATTGGCAGCTTTGGTATAATGCAAATCATGTGTTCACTTTACACTGACTTCATGATTTCAAAGACAAAAATTAGCCATCAGTATGTAACTCAAACTTCTGCAAGGCATCCTTTGTCAACCCTAATGCTGTCATATACGTTATAATTGTGCTTTCTAGTCTGGTATTTTGGTATAGGCATAGCTGTTTAATAAAGATTGGAGTTGGTGACATGAACTCTGCACTCTGAGCGGTTATATCCACTACAGTATATCAATCTTTGGAGAATATATGAGCCTTAAGATTAATTGCTCCCTTGATGGAGCAATATCCCTGATAATCTCTTCATTTTGCCCAGTGCAAATTACGTCCTCTTTTAAATATCTTGATCTTGTTAATTCCCCCACCATTACTGATCACTGCACCATTTATATTATGCCCTTGTTACTTCATTCTTATTCTGAAATTAAAATCTGGACTAAAGTGGGGTTACCTCTGGTTGGTACTAGAGCTAATCTCACAAAAATATACTTATTCCCCAACTAATGTACTTTTCACATAATACCCCTATGGTCATACCTTAAGATTTTTCATATTGGTAATGCCATATTTAGAACTCTGCTGTGGAAGGACAAGTTGCTCAGGATCAACTTGGAACAATTACAGTGATCAAAATATAGAGGAAGGGTTGCTTTACCTAATATGTTTGTATTATTTGGCAGCTCAGCTGCAACATATGACTGGTGGAATGCCTAGTTCTTTAGTTGATTCCAACTCTCCTGTGGATTCCACGCTATGGTGATACTATATTTGACAAGATCCTATGACCTTCCTAGGGACCAGAATCCCTTCACTTTTAGTAAATCAAACTTTACCCGACGTATACTTGAATGCATACAAATTTGGACTAAGGCCAAACACCTGCAGTGGGTGTCGTGGTTTACCTACTATAGTCCCTTATGACCTAATGATGCTCACCCAGAGCTAGCCAAACTTTTGCATGTTCCAAAATGGCGGGTGTGGGGTATCACTCAACTACAACACATTTGCTTTGTTATCCTTTTCAAAACTACATTCTAGACATAACCACCTCTGCTTGTATGCACTTTTATTACCTTCAACTGAAACATGCAGTACATGCACAAGGACTTTCTGGACGCTGGGTGTGTCTCTCTCACCCCCATATACACTATATTGCCAAAAGTATTGGGACACCTGTCTTTACACGCATACAGTGAGGAACAGAAGTATTTGAACACCCTGCGATTTTGCAAGTTCTCCCACTTAGAAGTCATGGAGGGGTCTGAAATTCACATTGTAGGTGCATTCCCACTCTGAGAGACAGAATTAAAAAAAAAAAAAAAATCAGGAAATCACATTGTATGATTTTTAAAGAATTTGTCTTGCACTGCTGAACATAAGTATTTGAACACCTGAGAAAATCAGTGCTAATATTTGGTACAGAAGCCTTTGTTTGCAATTACGGAGGTCAAACATTTTCTGTAGTTCTTGACCAGGTTTGCACACACTGCAACAGGGATTTTGGCCCACTCCTCCACACAGATCTCCTCTAGATCTGTCAGGTTTCGGGGCTGTCGCTGAGCAACACGGAGTTTCAGCTCCCTCCAAAGATGTTCTATTGGATTTAGGTCTGGCACTGGCACTGGCTAGACCACTCCAGAACCTTGATATGCTTCTTACGGAGCCACTCCTTGGTTATCCTGGCTGGATGCTTTGGGTCGTTGTCATGTTGGAAGACCCAGCCACGACCCATCTTCAATGCTCTGACTGAGGGAAGGCGGTTGTTGCTCAAAATCTCACAATAAATGGCCCCATTCATCCTCTCCTTAATACAGTGCAGTCGTCCTGTCCCCTTCACAGAAAAGCACCCCCAAAGCATGATGTTACCACCCCCATGCTTCACAGTAGGGATGGTGTTCTTGGGATGCAACTCATCCTTCTTTTTCCTCCAAACACGACGAGTGAAGTTTAGACCAAAAAGTTCTACTTTGGTCTCATCTGACCACATGACTTTCCCCCATGCCTCTTCTGGATCATCCAGATGGTCATTGGCAAACTTCAGACGGGCCTGGACATGTGATGGCTTGAGCAGGGGAACCTTCCGTGCAATACATGATTTGAAACCATGACGGTGTATTGTTCTACCGACAGTGACCTTTGAAACTGTGGTCCCAGCTCTCTTCATGTCATTGACCAGCTCCTCCCTTCTAGTTCTGGGCTGATTCCTCACCTTTCTTATCATCGGTGATACCCCACGAGGTGAGATCTTGCATGGAGCCCTAGTCCAAGGGAGACTGACACTCGTCTTTAGCCTCTTCCGTTTTCTAACAATTGCTCCAACAGTTGATCTATTTTCACCAAGCTGCTTGGCAATTGCCCCGTAGCCCTTTCCAGCCTTGTGGAGGTGCACAATTTTGTCTCTGGTGTCTTTTGACAGCTCTTTGGTCTTGCCCATGGTAGTAGTTGGCGTCTGACTGACTGTGGGGTGGACAGGTGTCTTTAAAGAGCTCAGACAGGTGCTACTAAGTTAGGTTAATGAGTGGAGTAGAGGTGGACTTTTTAAAGGCACAGTAACAGGTCTTTGTGAGCCAGAATTCTTGCTGTTTCTTAGGTATTCAAATACTTATGTTCAGCAGTGCAAGACAAATTCTTTAAAAATCATACAATGTGATTTCCTGATTTTTTTTTTTTTTTTTTTTTTTTTTTTTTTTAATTCTGTCTCTCAGAGTGGGAATGCACCTACAATGTGAATTTCAGACCCCTCCATGATTTCTAAGTGGGAGAACTTAAACTCAAAATCGCAGGGTGTTCAAATACTTCGGTTCCTCACTGTATAAACTGTAATGGCATCCCAGTCTTAGTCCTTAGGGTTCAATATTGAGGGCCCACCCTTTGCTGTCCACAAGGTTTAGGACTGTGTCTATGGGAATGTTTAACCATTCTTTCAGAAGCACATTTGTGAGATCAGGCACGAGAAGACCTGGCTCGCAGTCTCCGCTCTAATTCATTCCAAAGGTGTTCTATCGGGTTGAGGTCAGGACTCTGTTCAGGCCAGTCAAGTTCCTCCACCCCCAACTCGCTCATCCATGTCTTTATGGACCTTGCTTTGTGCACTGGTGCGCAGTCATGTTGGAACAGGAAGGGGTCATCCTCAAACTGTTTCCACAAAATTTGGAGTGTGAAATTGTCCAAAATGTTTTTGTATGCTGACTCCTTAAGAGTTCCCTTCACTGGAACTAAGGGGCTAAGCCCAACCCCTGAAAAACAACCTCACACTATAATCCCCCCTCCACCAAACTTTACACTTGGCACAGTGCAGTCAGGCAATTACCAGTCTTCTGGCAACCACCAAACCCAGACACATCCATTGATTTGCCAGACAGAGACGCGTGATTCATCACTCCAGAGAACACGTCTCCACTGCTCTAAAGTCCAGTGGCTGCTTGCTTTACACCACTGCATCCGACGCTTTGCATTGCACTTGGTGATGTAAGGCTTGGATGCAGCTGCTCGGCAATGGAAACCCATTCCATGAAGTTCTCTACACAGGCTAATCTGAAGACCAGTAAAAAAAAATGGCAACTGGCCTTCACAGCAAGGAGCACATAGAAGGGCGATGCATGTCAAACAACAAAAAATAAAAATTTCCAGCTCTAACTTGCCAGCCAGCTTGCAGACAAATTGAATTGACCTGTCTAACAGTATGCGTTGAAAACAGGGGTTTAGTTAGCACACTTTTGCAAATACATGCGTAAGCTACAGAGCCTCGTCATGGCACCCCAGTATTCTGTAGTTCCTAACTCTCCAATGTTAAGAGCCCCCATAGTAGAGGTACATGTATTTAATGAATAGACCAAGGGCAGATGGACCTGAGGGAGCCCACCACTCCTTTAAAGCTACAGGAGCCCATTGGACACCTAGCATGTAGCACAATGACA